ATAACTCCGAGGAAAACGTTATGCTTAAGTTCGAGTAATTCTAGTTACATCTTAGAGTTGTTTAAATACTTGTTTTAAATATCTCTATTTACATCGTCAAGGTTTACCTACATCATTTCTGCTCTCAGTTTTAACTGATAACTTCTAATGAATGCTAAACGATCTGCTTCAATTCGAGTTAACATGTTGCAACAAACTTTTTCCAGCATTGAGTATTGAAGAACACTGTTATTAGTAAGGATACTGATAACCTGTGTTGAGTAATTTAAGTTGGGTCATTTTAATTCTTTGATTTGATACATCCCCTTAATCAAACAAATTTTCTCCGTAGAGAATCCTGAAAAGTGGGGTTATATCTACCATTTCATGTGCTCCATTTTTACCGACAAACTCTGGGTTACCAACTGGACAGCCATAATCTGCTTTGAATAGGCTAAAGCAGCAACACTATTGAAAGTTGGTTAACACAGTTTAACGTGGTGTCTCTCAGTCACGGTATATGCCTCACATCAGAGCGTTCTCACGTTGTTTAGTGGAGTTTCTCTTAATACCTGAACAAAAGTTTTGGAAGTATGGATTCATTTGTCGAAATAGGTTGGATAACTCTTGTAGTTATAAGATTTGAATAGCAATTTTCATTTTCTTCTTTTGAATAGCGTATATTATTTGCCTCTCCTGAATCATTTATATAACCATAAACTTGACCATAACTACTCGTTGAATACATAAACACCAATTTCTCCACTTATGGTTGGTCTAATATTGCCACTATAACTCTCAATAGCAAATGAGTTTTTGAAACTTCTTATTTTTGACTTGAAATGTCTGGATTGTGTTTGTGAATTCAGTAATAAAACTTTGTATAAGTTTGTCCGAGGAACTTGCAACACAATCTAGAAGTAAACAATCCATTTACGTTTTTTCTCAATTGAAGTAGAGCGATAATAATGTCAATGCATTATTATAGTTTGTAGTATATATCTTATATATATATATATATATATATATATATATATATATATTTGTATCTGGATGAGTATCTGATAGACCATGCCTCTCTTTTTCTACTCCCCTCATACGCATAAGATATCTTATTACTAATTGTCTCCACATCCCGTTTTCAATATTTCTTCTTTGAACTTGATGCATTTTCTGTTCTTCCAACAAAACTGATTAACTGTTTAACTTGGTCTTAACCTACTGAATATTAAAAACATTAATATTTACTACCAAAAAGCTAATGAGTTTCTTTTTATAAACAGCTGTTTTTGTTTTTAAATTTGTTCTGTGTATTTCTTATAGGGAAACCCCGACCTTTGAGAGGGTGTCACGCCCTTAAGAGTTGGAATTTTAAAATTTTAAAACCTTATTGCAAAACTACATATTGAGACAAATCTTTTGACACCTTAAACATTGAAATTTGTCCACAAATAAGGGAGGAGTTGCATTAACAAAAAACGGCTTCACGTATTATATATATAGATGTTGTATCATCTGCATACAAATAAGTTTTACTGGTTATACATTCTGGGAGGTCGTTAATACAAATTAAAAATAATAGAGGACCTAGAACAGATCCCTGAGGCACGCCATATTTCATTTTTAATTCTTGGGACCATTCTCCATCAATATTGACTTTTGTGACGTGTTTTTCCGTTTTATTGTAAAATAGTCAACATATTAATTTAGGTTTTCGGATGGCTCAGTGGATGCCAGGATTCGTCATCGCAGATACAGTAGAACCCCTGATATCCGGCCTTGGTTTTTCCGGTCCTCTGTTTATCCGGCCACTTCCAGGAAGCCAATATCAAAATGTTTTTCTCAAAGCTTACAGACGTTTAGATGCAAGCACTAGTCTTTGCGACTTGTTTGAGCTAAACTATTTATCTGTTTGTTTCAATACATTTTACTGTGTCACTAAACTCAGTTGAACTAGGCCTAACCTCTAAAAAGTTGGGGGTTGGGAAATTAATCTTTGTATTTATTTCACAAAAAGGATAAGAAAGTTGAGTAGAATTGTATTTACTATTAAGGTCCTAAACATCTTCAAGGCTGATTTAATGTAACTTTTACCTCCATCGTTTAATAGTTTTTGTTACCTGAAATCTTAATTTCAGGTTTTTTTAACAACTTTAGCCTACAAATAATTTTTTTTATTTGTACAAACATGTTAATTCAAAAAATAATCCTAGAATAGACTTAAATGACACTTTTGACAGCATGTATTGATTAAACATTATTATAGGTATGAATCATTTTCATTTTTGTAGTAGGTTGGTTTATCCGGCCAAATCGCTATCCGGCCAGGGGCTTGGTCCCGTGGTGGCCAGATATGAGGGGTTCTACTGTACTAAAATAATTTTGAGTGACTCAGACAAGATACCTAATTTCGGTAATATCTCACTATCATCATTGTCACTGTTTTAGATTGCCAATTGAACTCTTCCAGGTTGCCTTATACAGCAACACACAAATACTGGAAGGGACGTGTTTAATTACAAAACGTTCGGTACACGAAATTTAGGTTCAGCTATGGGTGAATTTAGAATATTTATGGGATTGTCTATATCCCGTCGAAATACGAAAATACGTGGTCGATATTTGGCTAATTAGAGACCAATGCTTTTCATTAGGTAACAAAACGATTCTAAGTATTAAAGGACCTACTCATAAAACACTAAATACAAACGTTATTAACAAGAAAGCCCAGGTTGCTTCAGCAGCAACAAAACGATACTGGGATTTGACGAGGTAATTGTTACAAATATCGACGTTAAACGACCTACAACAAAATACACCCAGGTTGCCTCAGCGGCATTAAAATATCGACGTTAATTAACACACAATAAAATACACCCAGGTTGCCTCAGCGGCAACAAAACGATACTGGAATGTAACGATTTAATAGTTAATAATATCAACGTTAAACAACACACAACAAAACACAATACTCCCAGGTTGCTTCAGCAGCAACAAAGCGATACTGGGAGGAAACGAGTTAATACAATTAAATTATGGATGATAAACAACACAAAACAAAACGATACTGGAATGTAACGATTTAATAGTTAATAATATCAACGTTAAACAACACACAATAAAATACTGGAATGTAACGATTTAGTATTTAATAATATCAACGTTAAACAACACACCAAACAAAATACTCCCAGGTTGCTTCAGCAGCAACAAAACGATACTGGGAGGAAACGAGTTAATACAATTAAATTATGGATGATAAACAACACAAAAAACAAAACGATACTGGAATGTAACGATTTAATAGTTAATAATATCAACGTTAAACAACCCACAACAAAACAAAACACTCCCAGGTTGCTTCAGCAGCAACAAAACGAAACTGGGATGTAACGAGTTAATAAAATAAAATAACGACGTTAAACAAAACACAAAACAATATGAACCCAGGTTGTCTCAGCGGCAACAAAACGATACTGGGCTGGAACGAGTTAATATACTTGTGAAATTGATAATTAGTTATCGTATCGAAAATAATTTAATGTATTCCTAGGTTGCTTTAGCAGCAACACGACGTTACTAGGAATCGAAGCTTCGAATGGAAACGAAAGCAAAAGTTACACTCAATGCTAGTTAATTAGGCCTACCGTGAGATCAGAGATGGTTTATGGCTCCGTTATTAAGCCAGTTGAGGTTACCGTGCACGAGACGACTGCACGGTTCGGAGGTATTGCGTCGAATGAAACTACAAACCAACGCAGTGGCCCTCGTCCAGACAGTGGCCAGTGCGCAGGCGCGGATCCCCTACCTCTCCTGTCGTCCCTACTCTGGCGGTAAGGACAGAGTTTGGTTGTGTGTTAGAGAGAGAGCGCCGAGGAGAGAGAGAGAGCGCGAGTGTCTGGCACTACTGTACGTTCCTGATTTGACGTACCGACCGTCGGAAACGTAAAACTGTAACGGGTGTGGAATACATTGTTACACTTTTTGTATTCTATTGTTTAAGTATGATTTGAAAAAAGAAAGTGGAGATCCGTTGATACCATAAAAACTTAATTTCATTATTAGGTCATCATGGTCGACACAATCGAAAGCCCTACTCAGGTCGCAGAAAGTGGCCTGAGCAAGTGACTTCCTCTCAAAGACCATTAGTACCTCATTAATCAATTTATCTATTGTGTCTGATGTACACTTGCCCTTTCTAAATCCAAATTGTGATACACTTAAAAAGTTGTTTCTTTCAAAAAAAGAATTCAGCTGGTCAAAAACCATGATTTCAAACAATTTTGATACTACAGGAATGATTGATATTGGGCGATAACTTTCTGGAATATCTTTTTTACCTTTTTTAACAATGGGACAGACTCTGGTGACCATCATCTGTGATTCATCTGGAAAGACACCCTCAAGGAGACAGAGATTAAAGCAGTAAGATAGAGGTTCAGCTAGATTACCAATAATCTGTTTAAGCAAACTATTAGACATGAGATAAACATCATTACTGCTAGAGTTTTTTATTTTTTTTGTGGCTTTTATTAGATCATTAGGTGTGATAAAATTCCAGAAAAAAGGTACAGGAGTAATGGAAGAATTATTAACTAAATCTTTTGAACTGTAAGCATTACTAACAATTTTCATTTTTATGTTTTCAATTGATTCAATGAAAAAGGTATTGAAAACATCAGGAGATATTTTGGGGTTTTTTGTATTGATTAAAGAATTGCTACTGGTTTTAATGATTTGCCAGGCAGTTTTACATTTTGTTATTACTTTTTTCTATGAGATTTGTGTTATATTCTATTTTGGCCTTCTTAATTGAATGCTTATATTGATTTTTAACCCATTATATGCTTGTTTTGTTTCATTTGAAACGCTTTGACTATTTTTTACTATTTTATCTACAATATTATGAATATGCTGTGCACTGCTGAAATATGGGGAAAATATTTATAGATTATGCAGGAGCATAAGATAATGATTCTTATTTCTTATAACTATCACAATATGTGTTGTGTTAGGACAGATACCCCCAGAGAGTAAGAAGGGCCCTGATGGAGCTCAACAGATCTGTGTGTCTAGACCAACCTGAAGCTGACGTCCCATGGTTCCATTCTAAATTCTGTGAGGAGCAAAAAGCGTTAGGTAATCTAGTTCAAGATTAATACAGTTAATTTTGCTTAGCACTTAATTTCTTTCCCTTTTTCAGGTACTCTCTAAGCCTGAAAAAATACATAGATTTTGTTGAACAACAATTTTGTAAACACCAAGTTTAACCCAAAAAGGATTTTACTGGCTGAGCCTGGGTACAGTCTCATGTTTCATGATGAGCGTTTTTTATTGTTGCCTGGTAAGATCAAAACACAACGTGAGATATGATCTCAAGATGGTAATTAATGTCTTTATTGGAGATTAGAAAACCATAGCAGCTATGAAGCTCAAACTAGATAAATTAATTTTTACCTTATTACATTACATCTGTATATTCAAACGGTATTTTCAAAGTAAAAACTCTATATAAGCTTTTCTTTGGCAAATTTCCGCATTTATTATTCAACATTTTACTCTTCAAGAAGATTAATCCCTGAAGCAGTTGATACATCCTCTAGCAGTAACACGTACCTACCTTTTTGTCACAATGGCCAGTGAATGTCTTATACTTTAAGCACAGAGTATTATTTTGGGGTGAGGAATAATTTTAACAGCTCTGTCACTTTCTTAGATCAAAGACTTTCTTGCTTTTCCTAGCTGTCACGACTTAGATAGTGAAGTTGACACCTGTTTTTTTATATGTACCAGCTCCAGCTTTACTAAAATTTTTTAATAAAAAAAACAGTTGAATGAACCACGCAGAGAAGGTGCTACAGTGTAAAAATATATTTTATCCCCTTGTTTTGGTAATGTAATAGTAAAAGGGACATAAAATATGCTATGATAACAATAAGTTGTACTTTTAGTTTGACTTGGTTATAAAGTTGGGGTATTGATAAAAACCGGAATTTTCACCAGCACACTGTTCCCATAGCTCAATTCCACTATGTTATTTGTTTTTAATTAGTTAAAACTTTAACATTGGAATGGGAATGTCAAGTTATATCAATATACAAAATCCACGTTTTCACGTGGCCAGTAGAGCAGGCAGGTTATGGGGCAGGTTACTTGCCTCTAATGTATTTCGTTACCTGAGGCAAGTAAACTGGCTTTGTGTAAATATTGTCCACCGTCATTTCACCAAATCATATAATAAACCATCTGTCTGATTCACTTATCTTTGTTTCTCAGGTCAGCTCGAAGTAGTGCCCAAATCACTTCTGTTCACTGATGTGTACAGCACATTGCTGAAACTTGTGGGAGGCAGTCAATACATTGGCACCAGGACTTTCTCACCCTACGGCTATGTGTTAGGTAACTAACTATATGTTCTACTCATGTAATGAATCCATTCATCATTTGTGTCACAAGGTGACTGAATAATCATTTATTAACGATTAAATTTATTTGTGTGACATCAACATAGGGTACTCATAAACCTATTTTTGTGCGACTTAAGTTTTTTTTTTCATATTTAATATAATGATCAAGTTTAAACGAATAATGTTTGGACAAGAATCTTGGGATTCGGGAGATGACCACGTCAATAAATTGACAGAAATTCAGCTGATGTTTCGAAAGCGTTGCCTAAATCCATCTTCAGCTCAAACTTCAATTCAACTGCTATTCAACTACCTTGTCATATCCTAAAACCAACAGTCTACTTTGATCGTGGAAGCCTACCATTGAGATTAAAAAATTTTCACTTTAAAATAGGGATGGACGGGATTAAATTTTTAGTTTGGGACGGGACAGGACGGGATTTTTTCCTGGGCATAATAAGAGAGTCTTGAGTATTGCAGTTACCAAACAAGACAAACAAAATCAATTTTTATCATTTGTGGCACTGATCTATAAAAACAAAAAACGGGTAAAAATTTACAGGCATAGAAACTTGTGACTCGCGGTCGAAATGATTCGCAGTCACGGTGCGATCGTCAAAACGACTCGCGGTCACAGCGGTTTGACTCGGGGTCACAGTGGGATTGTCGAAATGACTTCGCCTCCTGCGTTTGGGAACTATTGTGAACATCTCTTGCGATAGCGGCGTCATCGTCACTCGCGAAGCGTCAAAATCGCCAACGATTGGATCAAATCCCGTCCCGAAAAATTCCTGAATCAAATGTAATCCCGTCCCAAATTTGGAAATACTAAACTAAAAAACTAAACTATAAATTTCAGGACTCGTCCTTCCCTAGTTTAAAATAAAGATTCTGTACTTAAACTGTAATTGTTACATATTTGTTCAGTATGTCACTCAATTATAACTACTCTCACATTTCATGTAAGACAAAACAGTGTTGTTGCACTAATAAGAGGCAATATTCATATGGTCATAGAATAGAATGATGACAAATTTGTGAATTATCTTTCTCTGGTTTCAGATATGCAAGTAAATTTAGATGCAGCATTACAACCAGTGCCTCTGAAAAGTGACGAAGGTGTTAACAAGTAAGTACTTCTTATTCTTTTGCTTTTCTAAAATAAATATGTTGGGGGCCACTTTAAACTTGTGTTTTTCCGTCTACATGTGTCTCGGATGTGTGCATTTACCTTATTAAACAAAGTACCTAAGGGGTTAACTAAACCTTAAGTCCATTATTTGTAATTTCACAAAAATTTCTGCCTTACTAGAGAAACAAATGTGAGTTTTTTTTACAAAAGATCTTTCTTAATAAAATCTTTAATTGATGAAATCCCTTTTTTGATTTTCTACTTTATCACAATATGATTGATTGACATTCATTATGTGCATGAAATCTCAACCGTTTTTTAACACAACATTACACTACCTACATAAACACGTTGACTGCTGTCGCTAGCACTTCAATGTGGCGCGCGCCGACAAAAGTCGGCACCAGACCAACAGAAATATATTGAGTCAGTGTGAGCTTAGCCTCAGACGGAGACGTTATAATCGTTGCCAGCCTGCCAGCTTAGAATGCGAGCTTTACTTTTGTGTAGGTTGGTACTAAAATTTCCCGTAAAATCCTGTCTGGCAATGCTTTTGTCCCGGTTTCGGGGATTTTTTCTCTTCAACCCACATTACAAAGACACTGGATACGGATCCGTGCAGTGCTGCTACCTTTGGGTGTTTCAGTGAACTACATCCACTCTCGGGGTAACACAGCACAGTCACCACTGCTCTTTTGTGATTCGTCAGACTGAAATATTTGAATGCCAATTGCGTTCGCTGATTCGGTTGCGTGCCGGGGCTTCGCCCGCCACTGGGGAGCGCCTGTACGTTGTTTTCAGCAGTCATCGTGTTAAGTTTTTTTATGTTTTTGGTAGTAATTCAACAGGGAAGTCTTTTGAGCATATTTGAACATATCGTTAAAATATAGATGGCCATCAAAACAAGTATAATTTAAACCAAACAAGAGAAAGTAAACAATACAGAAACTTCTCAAATGTTCTAGTTGTACTATTAGTGTAATGGGGTGTCATTAGTTTTGGTAAATACAAGGATAGTCCAATCCTTCCAATCAATGTTTGTGATATAGGCTAAAGTGGCTGTTTGTAATAGTTTAAAGGTGATTATGAAAGACAAAATGCTCAAATGCTATTAGGCCCATATTTACTGAGTGAAGTCAACCAAAAATTATAGGTTAATGTGTTGTGTTGATCCATGTAAGAACGAATATCAGGAAGTAATTTTGTTTAATGTGTAATTAATGGAATTCTTGATGACTGTAACATAACATTTGTTGTAAATTGATTCATTGATTTAAGCCAAACATAATTTCTGATTGCAGGATTTTACACTCTGTATAAAATATTTGTAATGCTTGAAATAACATTTTATGAGATTATTTAGAGCAACAATTTGCTTACATTTAGACACAAATAAATCATAGCTTGAACAAACTATTTTGTAGGTAAACTGTAGAACATTTAAAATGGTCTCATTATAAAATTTATTTTCAAAATTAGTAGTAATCTAGGTTGTCATTTACAAATCTTACCTCAAGAACATTTTTTCTAAATTAAAATACAAAACTAAGATAAGGGACAAATTCTTAATGGCTTTTTTCGCCTATTCACTTTCTATGAATGGATTATAGTGCTGGGTCTTATTTTTTTTTTCGTAAAAAGTTCTTTAAACTGTTTATAGGATCGAACCAGCAGCCATTATTTCTAGGGTTGTGTTTTTATTGTATGTGGACCCTCGCGGATCACTCCAAAGAGGCCTTTCAATTCTGATTATGGTATCTGAAGCTTATAAAAGTTTAGAAATACAGCCTGGTTAGTATTGCTTCAATGTGTTGAACTCAACCATCTGTTTTCTACAATCGGATCTGTAAATACACCTAGGAGTACACCAGCTAACAAATTATTCCATTTTGATTTTAATAATAATATAAGGGGTCGGCGGGTCACACATTTTTAACTTAGAGCCGGGTAAAAAAATATCCCTAACATCTCTGGCCGAAATTGAGTTGGGTAAAAATCAGGGTGGGGAAAGGATTTATATGAGATGATAAAGTGTGCTTTCAAGTATTTGGAAGTTTACATTAAAAAAAAAATATCAATTGTTGGTTTGAAGGTTGCCTGCAATGTCAGTGAACCTTGTCCTCAGTCGTGACAAAATCGTATGAGTCAGTGAATTTGTGAACCTCTCTTTCACAGTGAAATTATGAACTTCTTCTATTATCGTGAAAACAACATAATCGTTCCTCCGATCATGTAAAATCATGAACGTCTCTAGCAGTTTCTGTGAAATCCTAAACATTTTTTTCGGTCCGGGAATCTTCATCATTGTCTCACACAATTTCAAAGAAATCTTGCTTTTTGATCAGGTAATCTTCTCAGACGCTTTTGGCTATTGGGAGAATAAAATCTCAGCTCAAAAATCAAACATTTCAAATGGTGAAATTATTTTTTTCAAGTTTAACAAATAATGTTTGAGTCCGTAAGTGAGGCCCTTCCGGTCTGAAGCCCTTGGCATTCGCTCTGTCCGCCTTTAGAAAAATTCAGCCCTGATTTGGTTTGCTAGTCAAGTGTGTATTTATTTACCATTTGGTTATCTTACCTTATTGAAGGTTTTAGTTTTAATCCCAAAGGCTTTGTGGTTGGAAATCACCCAGTGCAACTAAGATCGGCTAAATATTATGGTATACACAAAACCGTTTCAAACTACAATAAAAACCTAAAAATACATGGGCGACAAAAAAAAACATTGACACATTAAAAAACACTCGCTAATTTAGTGTGTTTGTTCTCTGTTCCAGATTAGCCTTGCTGTTGTACCACGGAGACAGTTACACAGCGTTTGAGCAGCGACTGAAGGGCTTCCTCCAGATGAAGCAGAGACATTTGGAGATCCTCGGCTACAGAGTCATCAGCCTGTCAGACTCTCTGTGGAACGCCATGTACATGACAGAACCCAAGGTCAAGCTGGAGTACCTGCATAGTCTCATTTGGCCTTCATGACAGGTAACTATAACACACCTTGGCTGCAGTTATGGCCCATGTCGGCCATGTCAATTCAAATATTTGATAAGAGGGTAGTTTTGTTGGCCCAAGCTGTTCAGACTGAGGGATATTTCTGAGGGTCAAAGAAGGGGAATGAGAAAGAGAGACTTGTTAGGTAAAATATAAAATATAACCTGATTGCCATTGTGGACACAAATTAATATGTAGTGAGCTTTGTAATTAAAGAGACGATAGTATAAAAATCCTATTATTGTCGTAGACTGAAATGTTAGATGTATGTGAAATGTTAGATTGAAATGTGAGTTTTTGATTCAAATTTACATTAGATTCCATATTTTTTATTGTGTGATCTTTGCTGTGGCTGGTCCTTTAATGAACCTTTTGCGCACTATTGAGACACGATAAGCCCCAGTAAGAAAACCATGTTGGGTTCAATTTTGAAAAATGTTGATCTAACAACATTGTTTTTAGTTTTCCCCAAATAATTAGATTCAACAAATTTAAACAAAAGTTTCCCTGTATAATAATACACTTCATTCGATTACATGGACACATAGAAATAACAACAACATGGTTGTGCATTAGTTACAACTACAAGTTGCAACATGGTTGTCGGCTTAATTGTCTATGATCTGATAAAAATGTACTACAAATTAACCGATTTATCGCTTTTAACAAAAACTCAAATTATTTGTTACATTAAATTAAACAGCCATAGTATTAAAACAATTATGTCTTCACTAGGAATTCTCAAATGAAGATGAAGATCCAAAGTGACGATGCCAAATGCTGCAAAAAAACTGATTAGTGGTAAGAAATCTGTTGTATAGCATTACAGTATTTATTATTTCTTTTGTAAATAAAAACCTTATTGGTATTAATTGTTATTTGATTGTTATTTTAACCAAGCCTTTAGTATTTAGTAGTGTATTATTTTTAAATATTAGCTTTCATTTCAAACTAAACTAAACCTTAATTTTTGAGGTGTTGCCCTCTGGGTTGATTTTAACAATACTATTTTAGAAGTTAAATACCTTTTTGTTGCCAATGTAATCTCTTGTTCGCCTGGATAGCGACCGTTTTCAACACTCAATGTGTCATTGTCAAGCCTTAAGACATGTTGTCGCTCCTAGCAGGTCGTCAGGAAGTCTTTAAAACATAAACACGAGACATGAACAAACATTTTCACGAATAAATAAAATTAATTAAGCAAAATCCCTTTGAATAAATATTTAGCAGACATTTGAGTTATGCAAGAGGTGATATTGACAATTTATTCTTAACTCTTTCACTGACCAATCTTTGTCTTTTTTAAATCCCGTTGGCCAGATGCCAAGATAATAGATAATACAGAAAGGACATTTTAAAATACTTTAGACTATAAATGGACTAATTTAATGGAATTTGTTTGCACAATTTGATTTCCTTTCCCTAATTCAATGATGAGTAGCTTGCTCAATAAGTGGTCAGATGTGCTAGACGCTAGACACAACAAATTCACTATTCAACTTTCACTTGAGGTGTATTTATTTTTAGTGTCTCACCTATCAATACTGCATTACCAGGTGAATTCTGTAGGATGTTTTCGGTCAACCAAGACAGGATTATAACCTTGAAACCTTCAATAAACTATTTTTTGATAAATCTTTACATCACTGTGTCACTAATCACTGATTGGATATTATTGATATTAATACTTTAATACTTTTCAATAATAAACTAGTTTACCTTGTGGTTGCCAGATTCTTGAAATGAGTATATATCTTGCTCGATGTACATTTCGCTACATGTGTAGCATCGTCAGGAGCACAGTTTGTCACATTAGGCTATTTAACACAAACACTATTTACAAATATTTACATTTACGGTCGGATGACGATTTACGGTACGTAAAGTCATAGGAACACAGCGCGCGAACGCGTGCGCGGACCGGAGGCACTACATGTGTCACTATTTGACTGACAATTGGCTTGAGGAGCTTTGTTTGGGGAGGTTCGGTCAGGGGATGGGGGTGAGTTTATGATGTTAGAGCTTTCTCTTCTTGGACTGTGACGTTGCCAAGTCTCTGCGCTGTTGCCACATTGATCTTCTAGATGGTTTATAAGTTTGAAAATTATTGAATTGTTGTAATCTTCTTTTTTGTTTAACAGGGTGTCTGTATTTGAACTATGGGTATGTTTGTATATGTGGTAGCTTTCTTGGACTTTTGCTATCGACTTAACTCTTTCGCTCCACCTAACATCATAAACTCACCCCCATCCCCTGACCGAACCTCCCCAAACAAAGCTCCTCAAGCCAATTGTCAGTCAAATAGTGACACATGTAGTGCCTCCGGTCCGCGCACGCGTTCGCGCGCTGTGTTCCTATGACTTTACGTACCGTAAATCGTCATCCGACCGTAAATGTAAATATTTGTAAATAGTGTTTGTGTTAAATAGCCTAATGTGACAAACTGTGCTCCTGACGATGCTACACATGTAGCGAAATGTACATCGAGCAAGATATATACTCATTTCAAGAATCTGGCAACCACAAGGTAAACTAGTTTATTAATAATTTGTTCTTGAAGCTGGAATAATACACAACTTTTCAATACTTTTTATTTAAATGGCGACCATACTAAGTAAGTATTTTAAGCCAAGTATGAATAGAGATGAGTGTAGGATGAGTGGCGCGATCTTGTAGTCTTGTTAGTGACCAAGGACGACATATTCCTTAGGCACAGCTGTAAATTAATTGCCCATACAGCTAAAGGCAACTAAGGGACCTACAGTTTATAGTGGATTCCGAACCACATTTTTGCCTTGGTATTAACGAGTTGGTCCAATTACCAGGATAGTACTGCGGATAGTCATAGTACTCACTAGTGCGGACGTTAATCCACACCAGGGAGTATCGCATCCACAGTGCATGCCTATAAATATCCACAATATAACAGGTATCCACCTAACAATGCCAGTACACACTGAACACTGAATACAGAGTGTTTCATGGTAACCTTGACAAAAATCGGGAAATGGTTATTTGGATCAAAACTAGATAAAATGTCCTATAAGCATATGTCCTAATCTCACTCATTTTCTATTTATACGTAAAAATAGTTGTTTTTAGGTTTTCAGTGTATCTATTGAACATTTTGACTTCTAGATTGAAAAATTGACAAGATATTTTGATAAAACTTGCATTAATATATAGAATATTACATTTCATAGAGAATTCATTACTATTTTGGGCAAACATGTTGGTTATGACTAATAAAAATAAGTTTAAAAACAAAATATTTTTGAAAAAAATCTAGATTAAAAATTATTTTTTTGTTTTTGACAGCTCTTAATGTAGTAACTATTCAAGCTTTTGGCTTGCTACTTTACCAAAAGTTGTAGAATTTAACGGAGAACAAGGAAATGTGAATTTATGTATAACTTTTATTGGGATTATTTTTGTCAACATTTTGTAAAATATAAAAAATTATTAAATTAAGCGAAATAAACATAATTGTATATTTAGCTTATTTTTAAACTAATCCTAATAAAAGTTTAGAATTTTTTCACATTAATTTGTTTTATTGGAGTAAACCTGTTAAGTGTTTGAAGATAACAGTTGAAAAGATTTGTATCTTTTGAATTATATGGTAGGCCTATTTATTTAAGTTATCAATGCAAGAATTACTTAACCTCTGTGAATGGAAGTATTTGTCAAAATTTTCTAGCAGGGTATAGCTTTATTTCTTTTTAACATTTCAGAAAATACTACTTTATACAGCACACTACAATGGTACATATATTTTGCATTATAGGCATGCATGACTTTTGAACTATTTTTTGTTTTAGTTTCCAATCTGTACAACGGTTTGCTAAGGGACCAATAAAGTCAATTGCTTTAGTTAGAAATTATTTATTAAAATAATAATCTCACTTTAATTACAAATCTACATACAAACCACAGTCTTACAATTACTGGATCAGAGCTCTTTACTTAAAACACATAATACAATAACAAAATAGGCCTAACTTGTTGGTTTATTTAAAGGTGAATTATATTACACCATGTTTTTAAACTACTAAACAGTTATGCCTTGTATCAATAAGGACTTTGGAACCCGACATCAACAGAGGTTTGAAAACATTGGTAAATCTTTCCTCTTTGATGATTGAGCGTGTGATTTGCTTTACAGGGTATAATGTGGAAGTATAGCAAAACCTTATTATTTGATAAAACTTATCCAAACAAATAGCAAGCTTGCATTTATTAGCTGTGTGTCTGTTTCACCACTAGAAACAAATCTCAATAAATTAGTTTTTTAGATATACAAAATTAAAACAGACCACAAAATTATCAGGCCATACTTTCTTATATCCTTAAATGAGGGAAAAAGACATTGTCCAGTCCTTAATTGACAAAAAACAAGATGCAAAACTATGGTGGATTGGGCAGTTTGACTTTTTTCCATATCATTTAATGAGATTGTATTATAGTATCTAACATTTTTATTTTCCTTATGAATAGTTAATCTATCACAGCAATACGTATATCAAAGATTTATAGCATTTTTGTACCGTACTTTTAATCTAAATTAATACCAAATAAGAAAATAACACTAGCAGACTGCCAAAATAAACGTAAACAATACACAAACAAAATATATGTTACATTTATGAAATTTGTTTTCATTGAATGAATGTTTAGGCTTTTTAGTTACAATCATTAACTTTGGACCCTTCGTAAACAGTCGAAAATCAATTAAATGAGCTTACACATTACTAGTTTTGAGCAAATTAAAACATAATCCTAATATAACTAGAAGTAATTTAAACGGTATTGAGTATTATAGTTAATTCTTATTGATAAATATTTTTGTACGCTACAATTAAAAGACATATATTAACATTTATTATCACAAAACCTTAAATATTAGGAACTACATTCTAATCATAGGTACTCAGTCGCTTTCGAGCCTCCGTACTAGAGAGACTTTGTCGTAGAGGAGTTGTCATTTTTGTCAAGTTCTTTCAGGACATCTTGATGTTACAACCTGTTCATGAGGTGTATGATGTCTTTGTAGAGGATAGTTTTAGCATTGTTTCCCCACAAGTAGTCAATGTGGTTGAACATCTTGTAGGGAACTTTGAACACTCCGATGACATTCGGAAGTTTTTTGACTAGCTTCATAACGTCCTGCAAAACGCAGAGCGTTAACTACTTAGTCACAAAAATGGTAGTTTGATAAAAATAAACGGTATTGGTAAACTGACACATACTTTCTCCTATTAGCTTCTCAACAAACCTTAAAATGGGGGTGGGAGAAAATATGATATTTTATAGGTAAAAACACAAAAATTGCTGTAACTTTTTAACACCAATTTTTACAGCATTGTGGGTTACCATATTGATTAGAATTAAATAGACCATGACATATTAAATTTTAATCAAAATAATTCTAGCTATTTTTGTGAAAAACCTATTTTTTGAGTTTTTAAGGAAAATCCACATTAAAAATTAACGGTAACAGCAATCTGACTCATACTTTCTCCCATTAGCTTGTTAACAACTTTTATCATGGGCAAGCAGTGGGAGTAACTAACTAGAGTTAAAAGGACTATAACATACTAAATTTAAATCAAAACTGGTCAAGCGGTTTTTTTGGACTTTGAAGTACACACTAGTTTGGTTTAATGTATTTTCTGTTATAAGAGTGTGGTAAGTATTACCTTCTCAGAAGACAGGTTATCGTTGGTGCTGTAGTGGATGGATACTGGAGCTGTGACTAGTGAGAGGTCGTACTCAGGCGCTTCTGTGTTGCCGTAAACCTTGAGGTTGTTTGTCGGTCCGTAGTCAAACCATTGGAACCGCCCTGCAAAATTTATTGTGACTTATTACAACTTTACTTACAAAGCTAACATGTTTAGACGTTAAAACATTATTTCTCAGAACCTCCCAACTTCTCACTACTAACATTTTGGGTTGATTTAGTACTGGCAAGAAATTGAATGCAGGGATGAAATATTAAATCCTTGGAGTGTTCTAGGTGACGTGGGCAGTTACAGTCACATTCATTCCTCTTTGAAATTTTCTCCCACTAAAAGCTAATTATATGTTAAACCTGTTACCAAAACCCCTTGAGTATTCTGTTGAATCTTTGGTCAGTTCTGGTAACTTTTCTATTCCACGGAACTCTCCCTTTCATAGCTCTGAAACCCTTATGCCCAGAGCCTCTCACTAAATTATCCCTTGTTGAGTCTATGGCTTAAGAACCCCGCTAAATCTTAGAACCAACCCTAACAGAACTCTTTTTAAGTTCCAGATAGACTCTTTTCCTATGAAACTCAATACTGGAAAATGGAATCGCCGATCCTCCGCACGCTATCCTTTCCTGTAGGAATTCGGTGGTAGGATTTGAACAGGACCTCTTTATCGCTTAGAGCGTTAGCGATAAGGTCAGGCTGTTCTCCTTCTGCTACGTTTGCATCATCAATCTGAGTTCTCAGGTGACCGATACCACTTCCATCTCTCCCTGGAACCACTGATATGTCCTCTTCTGTTGGTGTTTTGTCGTCTTGTCCCGAAGGAGTGCTAAAAGTGAAGATAATTGAACAGCTGTGATGCTGCGGTGCAGCTGAACGCGGTGGATCATTATGGCTGAAATGCCATCTCTGGCGTACAAAGGCACCCTCTTGAAGTATTGTAGATAGCATTTCCGAGAGGGTTTCCATTGCCTGGACCGATAGGTTTTTAGTGGGTGAGAGTCCCACACGCCAGGGTAAAAACCATCTTTAGACCCTGACGGTGCATTAAGCATTTTCCTGTCGTAAAAAAAAAATATTTGTGTTTTATAAACCCTGATTTTCTTGTCCTCACATCTCTAGCAAAGCACAAGAGCCATCAAAATTAAGAAAGAACAAACTGATAAAATTTAGTGGCTGTGCGGGAATTCAAATTCCCAATATTGCTCTCATGGCTTTAAGCCACCAACTCAATCAAATATTTATATTTATAGGAAATAGTGATGCAGTATTATGAAACCATCTTTGTTATAATTTATTACAAGAATATTCCTTTACCTGAGTCAACATTTTGAGCATAGTGAGCGAGAGTTCTGGGGTTGGTGCTGGACAGATGTTCTATCATAGTTGGCAGCATGCTCTAAAACATAAAGTTCAATTGTCATGTAAACATTCTGGTAGAATAATGCCAATGAGTACAGGCACATCAATGGAGTAGACAACTCATAAAAAAATACTCATACATTTCCAGTATCGTTTGATGTAAATTTATAGTTTAGTGCATGCATTGACACAAAATAAAATGTTTAGCAATCATGTTAAATTACTAGTTGCTTTACCTGCACTTCAAAATTGACGAGAATACAGAGAATAATTTAATTCTTTTAACTTACACTGAAAACCAGTTACACATCCACCATTATTTAAAGTGAAGAACAAACAAACGGTATCAGCAATCTGACACATACTTTTCTCTCTTGACAACAACCCTTATCATGGGTAAGCCGGTGGGAGTAACTACGATATTTTATGGGGAAAATCACCAACGTTGCTATAACTTTTAAACGGTAGTTTTTACAGCAATGGGTGCAATACTCTTTTGTTTAGAGTTAAAAGGGCTATAACATACTAAATTTTAATTAAAATCGTTCAGGCAGTTTTGTTTTATATTCCGATATTTTTGGTATATTATGCTTTTTAAAAATCACTACTAAAAAGCAAAATTTGAAAAAAATAATAAAAATAAACGCTTGAAAATACTATGGATTATACTACCAACATACCAAATTTCATCAAAATCGGACCACAGGTGTAGTCTGTAGCTCTATACACATCCACACACACAGACATCTGAAAACCACTTTTTTGCGTTCAGGGGGACCCAAAACAGATATATCCACCCAAAACTCAATCTCAAACAATTTGACAAAAATAATACTTTCTCCATATACTATGTAAGGGGAGAGAAAGTAAATGAAACAAAACTTTATTTTGCTCTACCTTATTGAACTGTTTGTAGTCCCAGCCTGTAATAGAGAAGACTATCTCTACACAGACAGACTGCAGTGGAGAGCCGTCTCTACACAGATTAGCCTCTACTGTGGATAACCACGGCATCTTGGGCCACACCTGGTGTATACCCTGCTTGATAAACATCTCCTGCAACAATCATCACATGGATCACTCAGTGATTTAACTAAGCATCTATATAGTTAATACAATAAGGATTTTCTCTGTTACATCCTTTTTTCACCCATCATACTTAACCGAGTCATACGATTTTGGAGTCATTTCAAAGCTTATGATCCAGCGCACCAGCGAATAGTAACTAAAAAGATAACATCCTTTAAGGCTTTTTGATTTATTTTATCTAGAGTTTGCTTTCATCGATCCAGTGATGGTGACCAATTTTTTTATAACAGTTTAATTTATTTTAGTTGTAATTTAACAGCTGATATTTAGTTGGATGTTTGACCACAGTCCGATTGTAAACAAGAGACAGACAAAAATGTTTGAATAGTTTTTTTTGCGAATTTCCCATATAGGGAATAAGCTATTACCGTAGTACTCATGGTAAGACCTGCACCCGGGACTGATTTAATTTTTCATTTTGAGGTCCCTAGAGGCCAAAACACCATCCGTTCAATTTCATATAATATATATATGTGTCCGTTAGCGCGATAACTCGAGCAAAAATGATCCGATTTTGATGAAATTTGGTACAAACGTGTAAACCTACATTTATTCAAACGAGTTTGCTATCCAGCATAATCGGATCATGGGAACGGGGATTTATGGGGGGTTTTATGGGGTTTTCCCATTTTTGACCCTAAAATTTGCAATTTATTTTTAAACCGTTTTGTAGAGCTTAAAAAAAGAATTAATTTTGTATATTGAAGCGCTGTTGTATGCCTAACGGTCACGGAGAAAATAAAAAAATAGTGTAATTTAAAATTCCCATGTTATTCTTATGGAGAAAATTAAAATGATTGTAGTTTACTGGTTTATGGATATATATTGATAAAATTTATTTATTTCATCCTATACAGTTGACATATGGCCAAAAAACACTTTTTACGTTCCCCGTAGCAGCAAACCTAAGAACTCGTTAAATCTAATGTTATTTAAATAGGGAATAAATATGTATTATTTATGGAAATATTTTAGTAAAAATGTAATCAGACAAGTTGAAATTCGCTTAATCAGCAGGTTTGCTGCGGCTGGGGTATTTTTTTAATGCAACCTGATTGAGGTAGGTAACTCTTCAGTCTTTATGGTGTGGATCTAAATCCTTGGAATTATGTTTTTTTGAACCCTATTAAAATGTGTAATTTGTTCACAAGTCCCCTCATATAATACTATGCCCCACAGGCCACCAAAGGTCCAGTCATTTTAGAGTACTGCTACGGTGTTTCTATAAGCTGTTTTAAATATACCAGCCGATGTAAAAAGCAAAGTGTTTTTCGTTTTTTGATATCTTTATTAGTTCGGGCAGGATCTTCCTTCAAAGTTGGGTTTTCTCCCAGATTAACATGGGGGAATCTAAATATTTAATTGGAAACTTTGTCTCCACTAATTTGAGAGAACGGCTGGGCGTAAAAACTTGATAGAGGTGTCCAAAGAAAGGTATTGGTCTGTAGATGAGTTATAAAAAAAAAAAAAACGAAGTAAATTCGCTTAGGGCTCTGCCCCAGAAGCCTTTAAAGATCCCTCCACAGATTTGTTTACATCTTGGCCATGTGGATAATACTTTTTAATGAAACAGCTGTTAATTAATTTTAAAATTGTGTTTTAAACAACACACATTTATTGGGAGTTACTGAATAGTCCAAAAGAGGTATTTGCAATGTTATTTTCTGATTTTAAAATTGATTTTCTTCTGTATTACGTCATGTTTTGCAATATCTATATATATAATACGTGAAGCCGTATTTTGTTAACGCAACTCCTCCCTTATTTGTGGACCAATTTCAACGTTTAAGGTGTCAAAAGATTCGTCTCAATATGTAGTTTTGCAATAAGGTTTTAGAACTTTAAAATTTCTATTCTTAAGGGCGTGAGACCCTCTCAAAGGTCGGGTTTTCCCCATAAGAAATACATTGAACAATTTTAAAAACAAAAAACAGCAGTTTATAAAAATAAACGCATTAGCTTTTTGGGAGTAAATATTAATGTTTTAGTATTCAGTAGGTTAAGACCAAGTTAAGCAGTTAATCAGTTTTGTTGGAAGAACGGAAAATGCCTCAAGTTGAAAGACGAAATATTGTAAACGGGAGGAGGAAACAATTAATAATAAGGTATCTTATGTGTATGAGGAGAGTAGAGAAATAGAGGTCTGATCTAACAGATACACATCCATATACACATGCACTTGGTGAGATGAATTATATTTGCCAGTTTTGCTATGCAACTTACTTTGGAAGTGAAAAAATATACGAAGCCCATACGAAGCCGTGTTGTCACGATTGTAAAATAAACTTGCCTAATGTCATATCAAATTAATGTATGCAAGAGATTTTACTTAGGCTATGACACTGGCGGATCGAGATATTTCAAAACATTTATTAGAAACCATAATAATGCCTTGAGTTGATAAGTTCAATTAGTAAGATTATACCAAATCTTGGCGACTTTATGTTTTCATTGTAAACTTTTGTATTACTCGCTCTACTTTAATTGAGGAAAAACACAAATGGATTGTTTACTTCTAGGTTATGTTGCCTGTTCCTCAAAAAAACGTATAAAAAGTTTTTTGACTGAATTTTAGTTGCAATATTAGACATAAGTGAAGGAATTAGTGTATATATATTTAACGATTGAGTAGTTAAAGTCAAGTTTATTTTTATGATTAAGGAGAGGCAAATAATATACGCTGTTCAAAAAGAGAAAATGAAAATTCCTATCCAAATCTTATAGATACAAAATTTATCCAACCTATTTCGACAAATGAATCCATATTCAAAATTTTGGGACAGGTATTAAGAGAAACCCCACTGAACAACGTGAGGACGTTCTGATGCGGGGCATATACTGTGACTAACACACAACACGTTAAAATACGTTAACAAACTTTTAATGGTGTTGCTGCTTTAGGCTATTCAAAGGCTTTCCAGTTGATAACCCAGAGTTTGTGGGTAAACAATGGAGCACATTAAATGGTTGATATCACTCCACTTTTCAGGATTCTCTACGGAGAAAATTTGTTTGATTAGGGGGATGTCTAGGCAACAGTTTTCTTCAATTCGCAATGTTGGAAAATCTTGGTTGCAACATGTTAGCTCGAATTGAAGCAGATCGTTTAGCATTCATTAGAAGCTATCAGTTAAAACTGAGAGCAGAAATAATGCAGGTGAATCTTGACGACGCAAATAGAGATATTTAAAATTAGTTTCTAACAAGTATTTAAACAACTCCTAAGATGTAGGCCTAACTAGAATTACTCGAATTTAAGCATGGCGTTTTCCTCAGCGTTATGTTTCATACTATGCGGCTCATTGAGCCGCACGGGTTCTCTAGTAGTTAATAATACTATTGAGTATACAGGGTGTTTCCAAATTTTCTGGACAAAAAAAAGTAAAAGAGCATGAGAAAAGGCAGAAGAAAAGCAAATTAATTAGCCAAGTAGTTATGCTCCTTTCACATTATTTAACACTAGCAGAGTACCCGTCCTTCGTACGGGGTTGGAATATAAACATAAAATGCTTATTGCAGTTATACTCAAGCTTTGCGTTTGCAATAAGAGAGGACACAGTTTGATAAAATTTGCTTTTTTAAATTTACAGTATTCTATAGTATTACACATCTACCATAGCCATAATGTTCTACCACTTCACCTAAACAATACAGAAATATAAATGATCCAATATCACAAATTATTCATGAAATGAAAAACATAAACATAACTGTATAAACAATCCTAATTTGACAGTTGTCATTGCGAATCACAGTTTTTTGTTGCTGCTTAGTTCAAACATGTTCAAATTAGCTGTTTTCATAAATGCAAAAAAGTATAGTGCTGCACCCTGTTGGTAAATCTTATAACTTTTAATGCTTTTCCATATCATAGAACCAACTTTTTTAGTTGAAACAGCTGACTAAATTCTGTAATTCCCTTTAAATATGAATACTCATAAGGTTAACATGGGGAATAACAGAGCCACTGGGGCGGAGCCCGAAAGGATTTTTGAGATAAAAATATGCCTATATGTTAATCGGGAATGTAAGCTATCATCATGCCAAATTTCACCCCAATCCGTCCAGTGGTTTATGCGTGATTGAACTTCAAACAAACAAACAAACAAACACACAAACTTTCACATTTATAATATTAGTAAGATTTTACCCTCACCTTATGTAAATAAAAATTCAAAGGACTTATAACAAAAAATTATGACAAACAAAAATTTGTAAATTCCTGACTAAGTGCAATCTACAAAGCATTCACCCATCCCACCAACTTTCATCTGAGCCGGCCACCGTTTATTTTAGGTTGTCTCTCCCATCTAGCACAATGCACACCACACCTGACTCAGATAGGATTTGTTCTCTTAATTTATGATTCATTCTTCTGTCCAAAAAGACAACCCATAGACCATCCAGACATTGATAAGACATATCAGTCAGTCAAGCACTTTTACAACAGGTCAACCAAAACCCCAGGCATGTAGTTATACCTCACCAGATACAACGATACAAGTTATACAGTTATTCTTCCCAAATAGCAGCAAATGCTGGTATAGCTTTCAGCCGATTTTTACTGTAAGTGCGATTTTTACTGTAAGTGTAAATAAAAGTTTGGTTGTGTTAGTCTTTCGTCTGATATATTGGACGTTGAAGAAGAAAGTGATATGATGGCGATGGTGCTAAAATGGATCCTAAACCATTACAACTCAAGTTGCAAGTTTTGGCATAATAATTTGTAGAAGATACTATAAAGGTATGATGGGTTTTCAAAAACGGTTGTTAAAACGTAGTTTTATCTTTTTTCTATAGCCTAAGATAAACTGTAATGTTTAATCAAGTCTCAAAGGAAGAGACAGTTTTTGGATTATTGACTTTTTAGGATTTTTTCAAGTAAATGATGTAAAAAAGTCACTAAAGTTCTTCAATCGATTCAAGACTTAAATGTTACGTGGTTAAACCAAAAT